AAAACTGACAATCATATATTAAAAAAATCAATAAAATTTTACATATATATATATATATATATATATATATATATATGAGGAGTGTTATAATAACATTGTGTAATTTTTATTAAGTATTGCACCATTCAATAATTTTATATTAATTGCAAATTTTGTAAATCTAACCGTTAGATTGAAAGTTTATATCACTTTATATGTGTATATGAAATTTTGTTAAAATTGAACAACAACTTAAAGATAATCAAAATGTTCATATTTAGTATATTTTAAAATGAATATATTACGTCAATTTTATTTTATAAAAATAAAGTATCAAATTAACTTGAATTAATATAAAATTTTGTATATATAATTTAAGAGTAAATTTTTTTTAATTTAACGATTAAATTTATAAAATTTATATTTAATATAAAATTATTTAACAATATAATACTTAATAAAAATTACATTAATATTATTATAACCCTCCTTTATATATATATATATATATATGGTTGAATATAAAATGTTTTGGATTTTGTTATCGTAAAATAGAATGAGACAAAATATCTCATTTGAATCTTATAATATAATAATAATATTAAAATGAATGGTGCAGTTAAAAATAGAAAATAGCAAAAAGAAAGAAAAAAACTGTGAGTTATACTGATGATGAAACGAAACAAATGATGATTATATCTAGCAGAAACCGAGAGGGTTGAGTGTGAGGCAAGTAGTGTTACGAGATCTAGGAGAATAAGAAACTCGGAGTGTTCACGTGCCAATCAAGAATCTCGAAGCCCCCAAAATCCATCAACTAATAAATATACCCAAAAAACTCACCGCTGTGCTCTGCTCTGTCACCCATCATCCAATCCAATCCAATCCCTCTCTATAATTACAAACCAAACCTGTTCTAGTTCTAGCTCTAGTAGTAATGCTTTCATCAAAATTTTCCAGGAATAGGAATAGGAATCCCTCCTAAAACTTCATATATGGTACTCCAATGTCATTCATACCATTGTATTATTACCACATCAAAACTTACAATAAACTAACTTTCTTTTAATTTTTCTTTCTCTTCTTCTCTCCGCACTGCATCCTCTTTCCTCCTTTTGTCAAAGCTCTGATCTTTTTCCCTCCAATCTTGGTTGCCCTACTTTTCACGATCTGGGTCTTTGGTATTCTCAGTTTTCAATATTTTTTCTGTTCTGGGTCTTTCCTCAATTAGAAAAAGATCTGATTTTTCGCCCTCTTTTGTTTCAAACCCGTGTGAACCCTCTTTTTTGATCTGGGTCTGAAGGAAACTGCCGTTGTTGGTCAATTATGAGGAAAAGGGAGAGGGAGAATCCTTGCGGCGTGTGTGGCCACTATCACAAATATGAAGAAGGCGAAGTGTGTCCGATTTGCGGTCATCGGATTCCGGTTGGATCGGAGAAAACTTCGATACAAGTTAGTGCTTTTCCTTCCGTGATTCTTCCGGAATTTCTTTACCTTGGAAGCTATGACAACGCATCACGCTCGGAGCTTCTCAAGACTCAGGGGATATCTCGTATCCTCAATGTAAGGGGGTGTTATAGTTTTTAATGAATCTGGGATTAAATCTGTTATCCAGCAAATTCAATGTTTCAATGATCATCTCTGAATATATGTATGTCTTATGTTTTCTTTGAAATTGTGGATATGTATGCTGATTGATCAAATGTAGTAGGGTTGTTATTCTGGATTATTATGTTTTATCTGAGTTCCGAGTAATAATTGAGTAGTTATAGGTGGTGTGCTTTGGTTAAGGGTTTCCTTAGCATCGGTCTTCTAGTTTTTAAGGGGCCAATGCATGGGAATTATGATGTCTGTGCAGAAGTTGCACTTCAAATCTGCTTATTAAAATTTGTTGTCTGTTTATTTTTCTTATAATATACTTTTGAATTTTCTGCCTGTTCAGACTGTCCCTTCTTGTCAAAATCTCTACAAGAATTCGTTTACCTATCACTGCCTCCCGGATGACAAGACTTTGCCATTTGATGAAGCGATTCAGTTTTTAGGTATGTTCCTTTTTGTGTATTTAAAATTTATAGTTTGTATCATTCATTTCCTTAGGTGCTTCTTTAACATGTATTTGCAATTTTCTATAAATACCTATGAAGCATATGATACTTGCACATGCTATTTGAACATCAGCCAGTATCATGATGCTTAATACAAGTAAATGATCTGCTTTGTGGACTTTTCCTTCACTGTGTTTGCTATTTGTGGTAAAGGGTGTTTATTTTTTAATTCTTCTAAAAGAAATAGTATGGGATATATTGAATGCACTTTTCTGTCACAGTGATTGATTGTTCTTTTAAAAGAATTTGCACATTTCCTTGTATGATGTTCTGTGCAGACTTTATAGTGTTTCGATACTTCTTCTAAGAGAACACAATGGCGTTGTTTGATCAGTGTAACAGATCCTGCGTCATAGTGAAATGCCTTAGGCTCTTTTTGTTGTTAAAACATCCACATAGAATACATGGTAGTTTGAATCACATGAGTTGTAATTTGAGACCTCGCTCCGTGAATACAAATTGTGTGGAGTTTGTTTATGTCTCCATAATTGCATGTTCAATCATAGGAATTGTAGGGATGTTTATTTTGTTGTGTTTCCAACAATATGGATCTTGGAGGGACAGGGAGCTAAATAGTCACTAGTGTGGTAAACCGAGGCAGTGGGGGTTGGATGTCGGTGTAATCTTGGTGGAGAGGTGCTCAATGATGGCTTCTTAAATAAAGTGATCAAATTTGTGGTTGTGTGCTGCCTAGATAGAAGGCTGCTGTGGACCTGTGATTAGGGCGTGTGGATGCTCTGCTGATGATGCTCATTTGAGAATAGGACAATCTGACACTATATAGTAATTAATGTTGGGAGAGAGAAAATTATGAAGAATCCCTATACTTAATGTTAATGAAATGGAAATAAAGATATTATTTGTTTCTATGTTGTCAATATCGTGTGGAGATGCCTCTATCTTGGTTGAGTAGCATGGAGCTGTTACAGTGACATCGTCACATGGCGTTCCAATGATGTGGTTGGGGCAGTTGCGAATCAGCGGTGCAGAGCGACCGTGGGTTTAAGAAGGGTTTGCATCTGCTAATGTTGTTAACCCTGAAATCTTTTCCTCCCTGAAGCTGCACTGCCACCACCAACCTGCGTGGTCAACAGAAGTCTCCAAAGCAACGCTGTTCTCTGTCATTGTGCAGCTACCTTTTACTCTTCACATTTGCAAGCATATCTTCTAAGATGGGAGACAGTGCTGAGCTGCATGATGGTGCTCAGGGTTAAAGTTAAGAAATGATTAGGGTTCAGAGAATTGGGCCAATGAGCCCAACATTTTGAGTGTTTAGTACTTTAGTTACTTTAGGCTTTAGCTTTAGATGGTTTGAGGCTTTAAGCACTTTGTTTTCTTGAATTTCTATTTTAGGTGTTGTTCAAGTACTTTGGACTTTTATTATTGAAAATGATTAATGCATGAATTTTGAATTATTTTTCTGCTTTTGAGCATATATATATATTAGTTATTTAATACATAATATAAGAATAGCTGTCATCCCACTTTTGCAGTTGACCACTCTGCTCCACTGTTTGGGATTGACAAATATGACTTGTTTTACATACATCATTTATAAATTTATTTTGTTAAAAGTATATTTTACGTTATTTTAATAGTCATTATGGAACTTACGGTTTGTGATATGTTCTAATTTATGATTTGAAAAATAGGCATTTGATTCACAATTTGTTAACCATGTACCTAGATATGTTTGTTGTTCTATCCTAAATTGTCATTCATATAAGCTTTTAAAAAATTTGTGATAACATAGGTAATTTTTTGTGTTTCTTCACCGAGTCTCTAGCCATGCTCTTTACCTGTTGTCTACTAATCTGCCCCCTGTCTTTCCGCTACTATTGTTAATAGTGGTTGGGGAGACATTCCCTGTTGCTATCTTTCCAAATCTTTTTTCTCATTTGGTTTAGTTTAAATGGCTGTCACTTGTAATATTGTTCCCTGTAGGGCTTGAGTTTTATATTCTATTTTTCTTATATTTGTTTTCCAGAATATAATCAATCTAAAATTTCCACAATATAATTGCAATATTAAATTTAAGTAATGCTTCCTATGTTGTTATTCCCTGCATTGAGTTATAGCATCTGGTTTGGCTAATTAAAACTTACTAGTAATCAATAGATTCTTTGTTTTACCATTGACAATACCATTTTCTTCTTTATTTCTTCCTTTTACCCTAATAATGCTCTCTTTGCAGAGCAATGTGAGAAGGATAAGGAGCGTGTTCTGGTTCATTGCATGTCAGGAAAGAGTAGGTAAGATATTGCTGCAACATACTATTTATTATAAGCATGGCAGTGACATTTGGCAAGGAGAAGTTAGTGGTCATGGTCGCAGAATAAAAGGGAATCGGTATAGAGGTTATTGTTTTGCAAGCCTTTCAAATGAGGATGCAGTGTGTGGATATATATATTTCTCTGAATCACGTATCCTATGACAGGTCTCCAGCTATAGTGATTGCATACCTGATGAAGTCCAAAGGATGGAGACTTGCCCAGAGTTATCAGTGGGTAAAGGATCGGAGACCTTCGGTTGAATTAACTCAAGGTATGCTTGTTTGCTGTTTCCAGTTTTGCTTTCAGTGTTGGTTAATTGACAACTTTTATCTGGCCAAGTTATTTATTTAAAGATCATTATGGAAATTTAATCAAATTAATCAACTGACTTAATACTTGACAGTGGTTATCAAAGTTTAGAGTGGAAGAAATACCAAATTGGTCAAACAACAAATGTGACTGCTTTCAGTTTAAATTAGGTAATGGATTATTAACAGGCCATGTAATATGGGTAAGTGATTGTGACTTGTGAGTTTAGGATGCTTAGAAATAACTAAGAACTTTCTTAGGGCAATCCCTTATGGAGCTGAAAATAATAACATGGATGTGCTTTCAACTTGAGAATTCTCCCTGCCTAGTGATCCCTGACTTAGAAACTAGCATGTGCCTTTTAGCTTTTGAGCAGGGTTTGGTTTCACTAACTGTTCAAATGTTCATACTATTTTCATTTAAAGTATCCTTTTACTTTCACATTAGAGTAGTCAATCTTTGCTGTTATGTGGTGCTGTTGTACCACTCCAATGCATTCTGCGGCCCATTTTGCTGGAGAGGTCATCATGGCCACCTGAGACAAAGCCACATTATGACTTGGGCTAGCTATGGCTACCTCAAAGGTTTTCAAAATTTTCAAGGTAGACAAGATAAATAAGGTAGATAAGCTATGACTTGGGCTAACTATTGTAAATATGAAACATTGACAAGCTAAGAACTTGTTTGAATATAGACTTATTAAATTTTTAACTTGTGTCACGCTCTAAGACTTATTAATACTATTATTGCATCTTTATTCTTTTAAACTTTCAATGATCTTGTAATTTGGCTGCCCCAATAAATGTTTTTTCTCTGCCTGTGGTGGTCACTATGTTGATCCAAGAGATACCCCTGGCTCCTCCCCTATCTCTGTTGAGTCCTTAAACGAAAATTCACTGCCCACATGTTTCGAACTTTACTTTTGTCATTATAGGTTTATGTTATGCTGTAGATAAATGAGGTCCGCATGTCTGGACTAGGTCATCTTTTATTTTTAATGATGCATATTCTTAAATTTTGGATACCTTCTTACAAGAAAATGAGGCATTTTTATTTGTGTTGTATAAATTATTTATCTTGTGTTCATAATCTTATTATTAATGATGTATATTCCTAAATTTTGGATACCTTCTTACAAGAAAATGAAGCATTTTTATTTGTGTTGTGTTAGATATAATTTTATCTTATGGTTTTTATCTTATAGTTTTTATCTTATGGGCCTAGGCCCACTACTTTGTATTTAAACACATTTTTTGCTTTGCAATACACAAGGAATATGTTCTCTCCATTCACCATTACTCTCAACATGGTATCTAGAGCCTAATCCTTGACCTCCCGGTGGACCCACTGTTCATCGGTGCCCGGAAAACGTGTCTCATTTCGTTTTCCGGCTACCCACCCTGTTTTGTCTCTTTCTGGCTATTTTTTTCCTATTTTTTAGGGTTTCTTCTTCGCTGCCGCCGCCGCCGCCACCTTTCCGGCCGACGACCCCCCCACCCAACTCGCCTTCCTCCGGCGAACCCAACGCCACCAGTCGCGCGGCAAACGGAGGCCGCACGCGCCCCTATGCGCCGATTCCGTGCTGGGCGCAGTTTCTCTCTCCTCTCCGTCGGCCGCCGCGCGTGGCGGCGCGTCCGACGACTTTCCCGGCGAAGATCACCGGCGCCGGACTCACCCAGACCTCCTCTACCCCGATCTATTATTTGTTTTGTAATCGGCCATCGTTTGTCACAGATCTCTTCCTTCTCGTGCCGTTTTTCTCTCTCCTGTTGCTGTTTCTCTCTCCTGTTAAGTATCTGTAATGGAGGTTGCTTATAAACAATCTCTCTACCACATCACTGTCACATCAGCTCTGACCCACTTTATGGGTTGCTTAAATTTTAGCAGAGTTATTTATAGAAATAACTTTGCTAAAATTTAAGCAACCTCATAAAGTGGGCCAGAACTAATTTGACAATGATGTGACACAGGGTAGCACAGGAATTGCTTATAAGCAACCTCCATCAGAGATGCTCTAACACTCTAACACGGATTTAACTAGATTTCATTATTTTGTAAATATTTAAGTCCTTTTACTATAACCAAATCTCAATTATATAAATGTTTAAGGTAAACTTGAGTTAACCGACACAAGATTGGATTCTAAAAGTTAAATGTGATATATTTTTAAAGTGAGTTCAGGTCATATTTTAAATTATTCTAATTTAATTCAATATAATATTACTTTAAAAACATGTAATAATAATCATTACATTGATTGAATTGAACTATATTTTTCCTTAAGTTAACTAAAATTATTATATATATTTAATAATCAAATTATTTATTCGAATAACATCTATCGAATCCATATTACTTTTTAAAGTTAGAATATACTTGTCTTATAAAAGTTTGAATAACGTTTCTTATAATATATGATTTATAAATGTTTGATTCGGTAATAGATCATGTTTAATTATTTTTTATCTAAATTTTTACTATAACTGCATTTTAAATTTTAAATTTGACATGTGTGCATGTGGATGGACGAGCGAGCGGACTTACGTGCAAAATATATTGAACAATACTTATTTAATATTTAATCAAATTTATATTTTAATTAACTTAGACAATAATAAAAATAATATAATTTATAACTATTCATTTAAATATATAATCTAAAAATATATTAATATGATATATATTACTTTTCTTCAAATTGAAATATATATGATACTAAATGCAAAATATAATAAGTTTCTTAAAAATATATATATATAATATAAAAATATAACTTAGATTATAATTCTATGATTCACATTGAATTTCTAATTAAATTAGAGATAAATATATCAAGAGCATACCACTATGATCAATCTAGAATCAACCTAGTAGTAAAATGTTATAATAATATGTATAGAATCTTAAATTTGAATTATAGTATTGTTATTGTAACTCTCACTAATAAAAAAAAGTATATTAGGAGCCTTAGGATTGTTATCATATATCAAAAGAATTAATATGAACATATAATTGAAAAATCAATCTAAAATATTTATGTAATAACTTAATGTTATTAATTTTGCGTCTAATGTCAATGAGGTAAAGAGTGTCTAACCTATATCATGCTTGATGTCATATAACTACCTTTAACACAATTGTGAAATTACATTTAGAAGAATCATAAATTAGTCCAATCTATCTAAAACTCAAAAGAATTCAAGCATGCTATATAGTAAAACATTCATAAGCATCATAAACAACTTGAATACATTCACATTATCAACATGCAATCATTAACTAGCTTGATTCTACAAATATTTTCAAAGGCACCTAAAATCTCAAGAGCCAAAAACCCAAACCTCAATTCAACAACCACACAACCACCAAAATATGTTATTCAATCAATAATTGGAGTGAAAATCAATATGGATCATGTGAAATCAATAAAGATAAAGTTATAGTTTCCCTTACCTTTGAGATTTAAGAAAATAAAGGAGAAAGAAGAAGGAAGTAAGCTTTGAGCTCTCTCTCCATAAAGTTCTGCACAACTCCAATTCTATCTTCCACAACCTTGAACCACCAAATTGTAATGTAGCAAGTTGTTTCAGAAGGCCCAAAAACCCAGTATGGGTGATTCAGTAGCCTAGAACAGGTCGTTCCAAAACTGGAACGGGCCGTTCCAAACTACTGAATTGACCTATAAAATGTAGTTGAGAACGGGGCGTTCCAAACCCTAGAACGGGCCGTTCTGGATGGAGTACGGGCCGTTATGGATGGAGAACGGACCGTTCTGGATGAGTCCCAGAACGGGTCATTCTGATTTCAGAACAGTACAACAATGAATGAAACAACAAATATATATATCATTAAAAACGTAAGGATTACAATAGAGTATGTTGGCTACATCTAACCCCACAAAATGGGTGAAACCACTCAACAAAGAGGGCAAATACAAAATAGAGATGAAAGGAGGATGAAGAACCGAAGGAAAGATCCGCACACGGACGATCTCAAGCCCTGGGAATCCCTTCCGCAGCTCCTGGAGGCGCCCAATGTGAGAATGGGGGTTTCTTCCCCGAAAATGGCTTCAAATACGGGCCAAGGAGATCAGATTAGGGTTTCGCGCCCGGCTTGTAAGTCTTCACACATGATGAAGGGGTGCAGATCGGGCCGTTCCGGATTTGGATCAGGCCGTTTTGGCCACTCCTGAACTTCTATAAATAGAGTTGGGTGGTTGAGGAGAAGAGGAGGTTTTTAGAGAGAAGTTTTAGAGATAAGGACTCTGGACTAAGTAGCTTGCTTTGGGTGGATTGAAGTTCCGGGTTGAGCTTCGGAAAGGGAATTTCGCTTCTTGGCTATTCTGAGCCAATCTTCAGGTAAGGAAAGCTAGATGGTAAAGTTGTTGGTTGTATGTGAGTTGGGAACTCCTTTGGGTACTTAGGTTGATTAGTATGAGTTGTGTTATGTGATGAAAATATTGTGTGTTGCTAATATATGATTAAATGTTTATTAATGATGTTCTTAGATATGCATGTTGTAGTTAAGTTGTGAAGTTGTTTACAAGTTGTGTTGATCTATGATATTGTTAAAGCTAGTTGAAATTAAGTTGATAAAGTTGCTATATGTTATGTGTGGACATGTATATGTTGTGAAGTGCATGATGATAATATTGTTAAGTTGTTAGAAAAGAGTTGTGTGTTGCTATAAAGTTGTATGTTGTGCCATGTGTTGAAAAAATATTATTTTATGATGATTGAGTTGATTGTACTATTTAAAGTTGAAATGAGATGTTGTGTTGTTAAATAACGTTGATGAGTTGTTGTGCTGATATACCATGTTGTTTAAGTTGTAAGTTTATTAAGTTGTGATGATAAGTTGTTGATCATTAGGACTAGAGGAGATTTTTTCGAAGTTGCTCATCTCATTGTGCGGATTGAGATAGTTGTGGTGCTCTGAGAGCCCAATTTTTTGAAAACCCTCCTTGGGAAGTTGTCCCTTGGAGTGGACGTTGTGTTGTTCTCCTCTAGGACTTAGTTGATCCCGTGTGTGGGCAAGGTCGAGGCACACGTGTATAAAGCGACCACGGTATAGGGGCCAGACCGAGCTATACCGATTACAAGCGGCCAGATGTTTATTGTTGTAAAGTTGGAAAGTTGGGGACATATGGTGAAGATATATGTCCTATGTTGAGATACATAGTACTAAGGTGATAAGTTGAAAGTTGTTTTAAAGTTGAATCCCTTAGTACTTGTGGGCGACATGGAAAGAGTCGATCCATGTCATGATTGAATGACTAATTTGAGTAAGGTATCTAGTTAGAGATGTAGTCTTTGACTAGGTACTGGAGGGTGCGTAGTACTTGGAGGACAGTGGGTGGGCTAACTCCATATGTGGATTGGTGATGCTAGCCAAGGTCGTGGTAGGCTCATACCCAAACCCTTCTGTCCTGACAGTAGTACTGGACCTCCGAGTCTAAGTGGCACACCTGAGAAATCGCATATTGTTGTCTATACCTGGTTCTCTTTGGAGTTCCTAACGTTGTTCTATACCTGACCTGATTGAGATAGGTCAAGCGTTGGATTCGGTAGGGTTTTATGCCACCTAGACTGCTCAACCTCAGTTGTTGGAGATCTCTGAATTGAAATGCGTGACGACGCATAAGTTGTTAATGAGTTGATTTGTTGTTGATATGAGTTGTATATTTGTTGTTGTGTTGTTAAGCCTGTGTTGTGTTGTATGTTGACTTTGTTGAGGATGATGATAGTGTTGTTATGTTGTAAGTTGAAATGATGTTAAGAAGTATAATATATATGTTGTTTGTCTCGTGTGTCGAATGCGAAGATGATTATATAGTTGTTATGTTGCATATTAAATTATTATGAGTTGTTTATTGTCTCTAGCTTACCCTTGCATGTTTCCATGTGGTTTGGACTGCAATTGGTGCCTGGAGATGGAATTTTTTTGTAGGCTACCTTATAGTAGCATATTTTGTTGTGTATAATTGGTTGTCATTAGTTGTTTGATTAGCAACTTGTGTTGTAAATATTTTATTATACTATTTTAGTATATATATTTCAGTAGTGTGTAGTGTTGTTCGTAGTGTAACAGCCATGGCGGGTCGTTACACAAACAACAAACACAAATATTAAGGAAAGTGTTATACAAGCTCTTGCAAGCCAATAAAAGAAGAGAAATCTCAGTGACTCCAGAGCTTCTCTATCTAAATTATCTCTCTAAGATTTCTTAAGAATGAGCTTATAAGCTCAAATCTTAGAGAAAACCTTATATACTTCCCCCTACTAATGAAATTGGATTTTTACCCAACGAAATCCCTAAAAACTAAAACTCTTATAGTGTGTTTGGATGGGAAATGTAAATGGAGTAATTCATTTATTTGAAGAATTTCAAATTCTTTGAGGTAAAATATCTTATTTGGATGGAGAATTTATAAGGAATTTGAAATTCAAGCATTTGTGAAATTTTTTGAAATAGTGTTCTGGATGGAGTACGGGCCGTTATGGATGGAGAACGGACCGTTCTGGATGAGTCCCAGAACGGGTCATTCTGATTTCAGAACAGGCCGTTCTGCATGTGATTTTTACACATGATGAAGGGGTGCAGATCGGGCCGTTCCGGATTCGGATCAGGCCGTTTTGGCCACTCCTGAACTTCTATAAATAGAGTTGGGTGGTTGAGGAGAAGAGGAGGTTTTTAGAGAGAAGTTTTAGAGATAAGGACTCTGGACTAAGTAGCTTGCTTTGGGTGGATTGAAGTTCCGGGTTGAGCTTATCTTGTGTTCATAATCTTTGGTATACTGGTAATCCAGCTATTGGCTTTCCTACCATGTCATTTTCGGCATCATCCATGATTGACCAATGACAACTATTATTCACATGCATGTTTATGCCATGTCTGTTTCTTCAAAATGAAGCAACCATCTTCAGTGTGTTGTTACAGTAGTATTACACAATGTTTTTCTTTTGCCCTTTGGGTAATAAACACACATCCTATTGAAATTGGTGTGATGTTACATGTTTTCTTCTGCGTATGTTTGTCTATATCGTTCAGAGAATAATTTCTGGGTATGGTTGTTTTTCACAAGGCTAACTATCATCTTTCTAACATGCATGCTTCCCCTCTTAATGTAGGTGTGTATCAGCAACTGCAAGAGTTTGAGCAAAAGATCTATGGACTGATCGGTAGTGGAAGCTCTCTGTTACCTGGTTTCTCATCTACAGCACCTCCTTCCATTAACTTTGGTTTCCCAAAGATCAATGATCCAGCTCAGCTTCCTTCCTTCAGCACTGCTGGAACACCATCAATCTTCACACGAGCACCCCTAGACATTACTCCAACTGAGTTTACATTTGGAGCAGGTCAGATGCAGAAGAATGTGGCTGGAAGTCCCTTTAATGGAAATCAGCCTAATCCAAATGGTACTGATATCCAAATGGATGGTTCTTGATCCTCATCAGCCACATGTGTGATTAAGCTGCTTGACAATTTGGCTTGTGGTAAAGTTTACAGGTACCAAGCTGCCATATTTCTAGTCAAGGTGCGATAATCATGAGTGACTTGTCAATTCTATACCAACATCTTTTTTCCCTTGTTTTTCTCAAAGCTTTTTATAGTTGTTATCTCTTGTTGTAGTTGTATTAAAGCATATTTTACTGGCCTCAGTAGATCTGCGACAATGTCCAGTATTTAATATTACAAGCAAAATTTTATCTACAAATATACAATAGTAAACAATCTTGTTTTGGAATTTTGCTGTTCTGAAGTATGCAAAAATTCATGGACAAATTTTTGAAATTCATTATCAAAATTTTCACTTTTTTTTTTACCACCATCCCGAAGTAACCATAAGATATTATTTGGAGACTTGTGAATGTGAATTTTCCATCTTATTATCCAGTTATCATGTTTCTAAAGTTATGCCTCCATCAACATCAACATCAACACTATTATATACTCTATCATTCTTCACATATACTTAATCGGGTTCCAATTCAAAAATATTTTGTGCTATGAAGTCATGCTCTCTATATATGACTTTGTTCCATGCAAAAGTCTAGTCAATTCATTTAAATACAAGACAATCACCATTCTTCCAAAGTTTCCATCTTGTCTCAAATGCTTAAACAAGTTGTTTATCTATCCTATTTTTCTTGTCCTTTCAGTTCTACACGTTAACATTTTTACGTACCTGTTTAGAATCAGATACCTGTTCAAAACAACAATTGTGCTGTAAATAATTTTTGCTTCCGTGTTATGTTAAGAATTTTGACGACCAATTACATAGAAACAGGTTATACTCAAATCCAAACATGTACCATGTAACATTCAAATTATAAGAGACTGGAGTTGGTTATGCTTTCTCTCCCAATAATATCTCATTTAAACCTTGATACAACGTGACTTAATACAAATAATTAAGGATTCGGTACAAACATTTACCATTTTTTCAATGTGGGTTTAAATTGATTCAGTACAAGCGTTTACCATTTTTTTTAATTTTTTATGTGGGTTTAAATTTCTTTTACCTTGCTTATTTGGTGGACAATCCTGTGGTTTGGGTCTATGTAAGAACTTTTTAGGATTTTTACCGACAGTCTCAATATTTCATTGGTGTGTTTTCTGATAGTATTACCATTAGGTATAGCTTGATACATATATATATTTTTTTTTTTGAGAATTTGACATTAAAAATGTTAATTTTTTTGTAATTTATTATCATTTAAAAAGTATCATTCTTAGAAAATATTGATTTTTTTTGGAATAGTTTTCGCTAAGTTTTCCTATGGAATTATTTTCACGGAAGAGGTGAAAAACTAGTTTTTCTGAAATAAATTTTTTTTTTAATGTAGTAAAAGTGTCATGTTATATTAATTTACATATTTAATATAAAAAAATCTATGATTTTTAGATAATATTTATAAATATTCTTATAAAACCAATTAAATATATTTGCATGATTCTTAGACAAAAAAACTTGTGAATTAGATGCCCCTTAAGATGTTTTCAAGTTTTATTGGGGGTAGTATTGAGGTGTCTTCATATTTTACCACTTTTTACAAAAAAAAAAAAAAAAAAAGAAGTACTAATAATAAAGTCACGTTTATGATTTGAACGTCACAAGTTTAAATCTGGGAAATAATTCTTTCTATTTATAAGAATAAGGTTGTGTACATTATTTTTTCCAATATATCCTTGATGTCTGGTGAGTCTGCCTTTTTGTTTTCTTCCGGGCTTCGCTAGGTCATCTCTAATTTTTCCTTGGACAAGATTTTTTAAAACGAAGTTGTTCATAGTTTTTTTTTTTTTTTGGAAAAAGAAAATTGGTTGTTATATAAACTTACTTGCACCAATCGTTTTTATATAACTCAGGACAGAACTATATTCCTAAAATTGTGAAAATGAAAAATAAAATAAAATAAAATATTAATTTGATCCATCGCCTAAGACTCAGGAAGTTATCCTTATCAAACAAGTTATATTAAAATAAGATTGTTTTTGTTATCATATTTTTTCAATTGGAAATTAACACATTTACGCATAATTGTCGAGGTTGTCTCTGTTCACTACTGGAACTTTGTCCTAATACAGATACCTGTACCTAAATAGAGCAATATATGATGATTTCGTCCTAACCAGGCGTTCATTTAGACCCATGGTTAACTAAATCTAAAAATTTAGCAAATTTTGTTTTATATGTGAATAAAAATAAATAAACATAATCATATATAATTGTTGTTATGATTAATATTAATCACAGTTAGTTATTAGATATTTGAGTAACTTCGTGATGTTATTGCTAACTTGTAATACAAAGTTAAACATCATTAATCATTTCAAAGCTGAAATGTTGAATTATAATCTTTTCAAAGCATGCTCTAAAAGGTTTACCCCACATAATCTTTTTAATTGGTTGATGTTATCTTAATAATATTCGCTTCCTCTTTTGCTTAATAAACTATAAATATGGTAAAGGATATAAAACTGCAGCTGAGTGAAGCTATATAACTTTCATAATAAGCTGTAAACTTATAAAGGTAATTAAAATAAACTCTTACTTTCGATCAATTATGAATTGTTATATTAAAAATCGAAGACTTTTATCACAATTATTTTAAAAATCATTCTTAAAAATATAACCATATTAATCATGTAAAATATTTCCAATAACATTGCCTTAAAATGAAACTATAAACTTTATGAATGGGATTATTGTGAATGGAAAAAAAAAAAAAGTTACTTTAATTACCACCGCATGAAATTTTAGTTCATCAACACATTTTATTAATATGATAAATTGAGATGTAAAAGAATAAACTGTAAAATTATGACAAATTCCATCTTAGAAAAACTTATTGAGGATCCCGGCCTCCAGTGTAAATGGATCACATGTAAGTGTAACCAATAAATTTCCTCACTGTTTATTGTTGATGAAATCAATTGATACAGGAATAGTGAAGGTTGGAGATCGAATTGATTGAAATGAATGCAAATGCAGCATTAATTATTTTTCAATCATTGAACGTCCATAACATGTGCACGTATATATAATGCTGCAGACAGCAGGATACAGAGGCCCAGAAGCCAGAACTATAAATTCAAGCCAACCCTATTTGTTATTAAACAAAGCCAAGAGAAAAAGAAATAAGAAGAAGAAGACGTAGGATCATAATAGCATTTTTATTACTCGATGTCCCGCTAATTATTTTCTGGGTCTACTTACATTTACTGAAGCAGAAAAGAAGAAGGAAATTTCTTAAGCTAAAAGCAACGAAAACGGCGACGTAGAGAAAGAAAAACTGGAGTCTAGGCTTGGCAGCAACATGAAAAAAGAAAGAAAGAAAGAAAGAAAGAAAGAAAGAAAGTGTGGCGTGACATGGTGGATCAATGGCCCAACACATCAACGTTGTTGTGAGAGACATCAGGAGAGTCATCATCGTCATGGTGGAAAATATTATTAGTGACTTTCCTAACGGCAGCCTTGAAAGTGTCATCAACATCAGCGTACAAGCCGAGAGTGTCATCCTCGTCGGTGCACTCTTCGACTCCTCCCTCCACGTGGCTTGATCCGCAGCCTGAAGCCGCTGCGGTGACAGGATCCTCACGCCTCACTGCATGGATGGTTTCACCCACCAAGTCATCGTGCCCCTTCACGCACCACATGCTCACCACCAAAACTCCAAGACCAAACACGAGCATTTCCTTCGTATATTTCCCCATTGCTACCTCTACGTTCTTGTTCAGTCTTCAAGAGTGATGATGGACCCTTCGCCCCACTCACACTTTTAAAGCCACTCTTGCTTCCTATTGTGTTGGAGTTGGACCCTTGGAACTGGTCTTAGGCTTCCGATTCTAAACATGTCACCTTCTGCGTAACATTCGACACATCGCCTTCTTTTCGTTCTTACGTGTAATGCTGTTAACCGCATGCAGTTGCATTCAACTCATCTAAACATTCTGCATCTTCAGCCACTCCTATACCGTCTTATATGTTGCTAATTAAATTACTTAACAAACATTTAAAGATTAAACATGAATAATGTAAGTTTATTTTATCAATTAATTATTATGTTGTAAAACATACAACTTCATTTTTATGAGGTATATATATATAACAATTATTTGTATTCATTTTACATTACTTATATTGATTTAATTAATTACTACTGATTTGACTATATATTGTGATTTAACCTCAGATGAATTAATATTTCGTAAACCAATGCTTTTATCAATTTAATTATTGGTCTCATTATAAAATATTAAACTAAATAAAACTATTTTTAAAAAATATTTACATCGCTAATGCGTAATATTATTTTTATCTACCAAAAATTAAATGGTGCACCAGGATTAAATAATGTATATGTATCCATTATTCACACATGTGAAAAGCACAATTAATTAATAGTCTCACATGACTCATTCTGAGGGGGCATGAATGATATCCATCCTTATCAATTCTCATAATTGGTGCTTCTCTATTCGAGAACAAAATAAATTGCTGTATACAATGACAGTTTTTTTTTATTTTTATTTTTTTTATTTTTTACCTTTATAATTTGAGAACCAGGTCTGTATATCTAATGACACGTCCTCGTAGAATAAGTTTAGAATAAATTTATCAAAATTTATTTCATCCAATAACTCATATTTTATATCAAATTTTCATGATTTAATTATTAAATTAAAATTTTTTAATGTAAATATCAAATTTATAAATTTTAAAAATTTTAAAAATTTTATATATAATACTCTATTTCATTAATTCAAATTGATAAATAATCATAAAAATATTATATATTTTAATTTAAATTAATGAAATAAAATATTAAATAATTTTTATTTTTTCTAAAAATTTACAAACTTAATTTATATGCTAAATTTTTTTAATTTAACAATTAAATCATTAAGATTTAATACAAAACATAAGTTATTGAGTGAAGTAAGTCTTAATAAACTTATTCTTGAAGTAAATTGATCCCTTAGACATACTTATATGTATAACAAAAATTCATTTTCTTGAAATAACATATACATGAGGCAAAGTTAAAAAAAATAAAATTTAATTATGTTTTGTCAGGAATTTATTTACTTTTTATCCTAAGTTTTTTGCTTTATAATCACAACTAATTAAATATTTGTATGGTAATAACATTTTGTGTTTCCTAGAAGAAAAATGCCAAACTAATTACACAGAAATCATCTAATTAAGTTTACAAGAGCAAGCGTTATATATATGTGGGTGTGTGATTCCTTT